ATATATATATATATATATATATATATGTACATATATGTATATATAAACATATATACATACATATATATATGTGAATTTATCACTATATTGCACAGTAGGCTATTAGTTTTACAAAAATCAAACTAAAAGAGGAAGAATATCGCGAGGCAGTGGGAAACCGAAGCTCCCAGAACGGAGTGGTCGGACCCGGCGGGAGGACGAAGATATAAAAAAACCAACACTGGAATTCTCAGGAGGCGGAGAAGTGCTTGTATACCCACATGACCACAGCTTAGATAGTGGACCAGAAGTGTTACATTATAGTAATGCAATAGCTTTTTACAAAATTTTGACAAAAGGCAGTAAAGTATTATATCATATCTTCAGAAACGAAGGATAGGACCGTCGTCAGTCCAGAATCATGTAAAAGAACAAAAAGCAATAAGCAATAAATCATCAAGAAGAATAACTAATTATGTTGTGAGGAGAGAAAAAAAAAAAAAAAAGATTAGCGAATAAAAAAATCATTACATGATTGTGTGTGTTGTATTTTAAACATTAGTAGCTCGTCTTGACCACTGCCACTGCTGAGTCACGATAAGAGCAAACTTATTGGTTGGAGTCCAGTCCGTACAATAATGTCAGCTATATTGTCCCTCTGAAATTTCTTGTAGATGCTTTTTTTCTATCTTTCTCAAAACCGAAATAGTCCTGAAAGTGCTGATGTTTTCAGATGTGGAAAGCAGCCGCGGAGCAAGTCTTTTATTCGCTGGGCATCGATGCTGGCCCACTGATATCGATGGCAAGCTTCAGCCGATATCGAAATAACATTTATCGCGATGCGGTCGCCGTTGTTTTCATGTAAGCTTTTCTTAACAGAAATTGTGAGAATTTGGTTTCACTCCGAAGCAGCAGTCGTTTTGTCGGGCTGAGAATTGCTGTTTGACTAGTCTTTACTTCCGGGATTGATGTCTAAAAATCTGTAGTTTCAGATCTACAGACAGTTGGTTTCTGAAAATTCCCAACCAAATTTGTTTCACTCCTAGAATCAGGAGAGATGAATCAGAGATTGGCAAGGGAGCCACAACACATTTTATCAGTTACAGTTCGTAGCGGGGTTCTCCGACAACGCAGTTGGCTGTTTTTCTTGACTGATACTCCTTTAACATACTGACAAACTGTGCGGGGATCTTAAGTTATTGATACACCTACATCTACATGTGGGTACAACCACGCGTGAGATGCACACCTCCAGTTAGTACCCGCTGCCTATTCTATGCGTGTATGTGCTACCTCCCCGAGCGCCATCTGAACGATCATATATCTTTTCGTGTACACCACTTATTAATACTTCACGTGCAGTACCGTAAAGTGGTTCCAGCAATACTTTTACGAGTATTCTTGCTGCAATGGTTATGTTTTCGTTCATTGGTTTCATCGCACAAAGTCAGAATCGTCCAATTGATGATATTTTGCGTAAGTTTTTGCTCACTCTCTTACAAGTACTCTCTGTACCAAGCGTTTCACTGGCCGAGCTTCCATGCTTGTTAAAACTCACTGCAAATACATCAGAAACTTCTGTTCCAACAGACTGCTAAAGTTGCGCTAACAACACACTTGCGCTATCAACATGTCACATTCTTTATAACACATGTTCCTACACTCTATTTTCCAATTTCCCCCGCCCTTGCGCATTAGCTTATTTCACATGAAATATTAAACTCGAGTCTTCCCATTCCCTTCTATATATTTGGTACTATTCTTTCACCGACCGAACAGTGGTGGTTGACTGTCTCCAAAAATAGATGTAAGTGCGTAATGAAATGAGCAAGCAAACATAAATACTTATTTACATGCATACGCACACATACACAAATACACACAAAGCAAGCTGAAACTTTACAAGAAGCGCGTAGTGAGTAGTACAGTGCAAGTGAGCGAGTACTTAACCGAATTCAGCGAAAAACGAGACATCTTTAAAGAAACATGAACAGTGGATATCACTGCATGCATGTGTAAAATAATATGCAGCTTCACTTATAATATTACGTAATATTTTTATGCGTTTTTTGCAGCTATGCAATGCGGAAAACGCATACTGACGAGAGGTTGTCTTTATGTGCGCTGGGCTTCTGTACCGAATTTTCATCTCGGGACGTACAAAAGCTACAGGGCTGAAACTTTGGGAACTTGATCTACATGCATGTACGGGCCCCCATCCCCAAAATGGGCGGTCTTACTTGCGTGGCACCCACGTACGGGCCTGTGAAAGTTTTTTGCGGTAAGTCGCTAACTCGTGGACCAGAGAAGCTAGAAAGCTGAGATTTTCAGGGAATGTTCCCCGTCCACGTAAGTCTAAACGAACTCAAACCCCGCCC